TTTTTTTTTTTTTTTTTTTTTTTTTTTTTTTTTTTTTTTTTTTTTTTTTTTTTTTTTTTTTTTTTTTTTTTTTTTTTTTTTTTTTTTTTTTTTTTTTTTTTTTTTTTTTTTTTTTTTTTTTTTTTTTTTTTTTTTTTTTTTTTTTTTTTTTTTTTTTTTTTTTTTTTTTTTTTTTTTTTTTTGGGTTTTTGTCTGAAGAAATAGCTGTCTCCAATGGCAAAGCTGTATTAGTCAAAAAACCCAGTGTGCTTATGGTTTGTTTTCCTTAGTGGTTATAATAGCTGACTGGAGCATGGAAACAGTGGGTGATAACTGAGAAAAGGAAGTAAGGGAAGATATGCCAGTGTAATAGTCCTTCAGGCAGGAATGTCTGTACCATTATTAGTATTGGGACACTATGAAAAAAAATCAGCAGAATGAAGAAATGCCAGTTTTTCTCTTTTCTTTTTTTTTTTCTTCCCATATGGAGGAAAGAGTAGTACTGAAATAAAATAAATGATCAAAGGGCCTTTCAGAGTCTTGGAGACAAACAGAAAACAGTATATAACTGTGAAGATATTTTGCTCTCCAATGAAGTTAGAGAAGGACCCAAATAATAAAATACTTTAAGTGGATTAACATAACAGTTCCATTGTCCTGTTTTAGCAGGACAGTAAAACACAAATTTTATTTTGCCATGTTGTATGGAATATGGGTTATGAGAAGACGTCTTAATTCATCATTCTTCCCATGACAATATCAGCAGATATGAAATACTCGCTTCTCTCATTTGCCCTTCAGATCAGCTACTAATCCACCTTGTGAACAGGAGTGCTTTGCTCTTCAATCAGCATCCATTGCAGGCACATTTATTTTATATTACCTGAGGAAAAAAAAAATGCTTTGATTGTACATCTCTAGCCAATGAAGTGTGAATTAAATGACAAGATGTAGCAACATCCTGAGTTGTGCAAAATCAGTGCAGACTGAAAGTAGGAGAAAAAAAGTGACAGGTGAAATGAGATTATGCTGCACATTAACAAAAATACACCTTTGATAAGACAAGAAAGACCATCATATAGTCTTCTATTATATGGAAAAAAGTTCAGATATTTCATGATGGGGACATTTTTTGATGGAGAAACTGTTTAAATTAAATTTTAAAGGTGGTAAAAATAAATAATGAGAGAGCAAAATGAAAAATAATAATAATTAATTTTGCTACAACAGTAGCATGAACAAAATCTCCCTAATAACAGTAGAATTGGGAAACGAGTTATCTAATCCCTATGAGAGTCATTACTGGAAGAAGTACAGAACTGAAAATACAGTGTTCATATTATACTGTTATCATCATGATTGCAGCAAATTTTTAAAGGAAGATTTGGTAACAATCTTTTGTTATGCATTACACATTTGAGCCTCAAGAACACCTAGAAGCACAAAGGTGATGTGAGGGGCTAAAAAAGGAAAATTTGAAATTAATAACAGAGAAGAGTTTCGTTGAACAGCTGATTTGATAGGAGAAATGATTGTCTGTATGTCTATGTTTTATGCCTACCAATAAAACTGGAAAATTGCTCATAATAGAGAAACTGTCCAAATACTCAAGAAAAAAACTAAAGTTGTAAGTTGCAACCTTATGATTTTATTAATTTTTTGCAGTGTACATAGCAGAAAAGCAAAGGAAAGTAAAAATTCTCTTGTTTATATATCTCCTGAGTATTTTTTGCACATTATCATTGGTCTGTAAAACCAAGATTCATGCATTATTAGATCCTCTGTTTAGGACTGGGCTTAGTTATTTACTTTTCTTAAAAAAAATAATTTTTGAGACACCTATCCTCCAAATTCAGAGAGAATATTCAGACCATTTTTCATTTATTAAGTGATCAACCCTAGAGTCGGTGTCAGTGGTAGAGCTCTGATAGCCACAGCAAAGAAACGATTTGTCTTTAGAACTGGCTGATTTTTTTCTGTTCCTTGTTTCAAGGGACAGCTTCATGCCCCCACAGAGTCATGTAAACAAATACTGAAATACAAGCCTACCCACATGTAATAGCATTTTCTCTTGTGTTTGGAGGAGGCGGCAGCATAATTGGCTGCTCCTAGTAGATGCAGTTAAAAATGACAGATGGAGGTAGAGAATGGAAGAGGGGGAAAGGGAGGTTTGATATTTACTTGTTTTGCAAGCTGTTTGTAGGGGAAGGGAATCACAGGATTACAAAATGGGGAAGGTTGAGAGGGACCACAGTGAGAATGCAAATTTAAAAAACGTTTAGTTGCTAAAATAATCATCTGCTGACATTTTTATAGGGCCATAAAAAAAAAAAAAAAAAAGGAAAAGAAAAGAAAAAAAAAGTGCATGTCCAGCTTGTCTGCTCATTGAAATGAGTGCTCAGCTTCTTCATTTCCTGTACTGAGAATAAAGTGCAACTCATTTACCCAAACTAGCGTAATGAATCAGTTTTCTATAGGACCCCTCCCAGAGTCTTCTCTACTGTGAATCAGAACAGCAAGGGGGAGCAATGCAAGAGTTTCTGACAAGAAAAATGCATTTTGATAATCTTGTTGATTTTTAACTTGCTTTAGAATTTATGTATTGAACCCCAAATTTCTGTAGAAGTAGGTATATTGAATATGGCCAGTATCTTCTCCTCTGGATTTTCCAAATCTTTTGGTCTGCTCCTTAATAACAAAAGAAAAGCTTTATTTTCTTCTTCAATGCATGTTAGAGTCCCTGAAAGTAGCAGCATATATCTGTTTCTGTACTGCTTGAAAGCAAATGTTAATCCTCTAGTTTGAACTGGGATGAACAGTTACCAAGCAATTATCTTTTTGTTCAGAATTAACACAATTTGGCTGTTAATGCACAAAATTAAAATTAAAATTAAATAAATGAAAAGATAGATAGATAGATAGATAGATAGATAGATAGATAGATAGATAAATGAAATGGTAGCAATTTCAAACCCTGTAGTTTATATATTTTATATCTTATTGAGATGGGAAAGATTAGGCACAGTATTTTAAAAAATGACCAGCAACACACTAAACCACCCCAAATACTACAAGCATAAGTAAGCCAAAATACCAAAATTATATGGGAAAATAATTCTTCTTTTCACCCAAATAAAAGGCGTGGTAAATCTCTTTATGTACCCCAAAGGAAGACTAAAGTAGGCTATCAAGCTCATGGGCTTTTGAAAATGAAAAAAGAAAAAAAAAAACTAAGATGCTTTAAAATCTGTAGTGGTGGGGCTTGATATTCCCATAACAAAGATGACTGTATATTGGAAGAAAAGGTAAATATTATAATAATTTTTGCAGGAAATAAACTAATACATATGGGAAAGAAAAGGAGAATGGAGAGTTCTCAGAGTAATGCAGAGAAAATAAATAATATAGTCTTGGTATAATATATTACAAAGTCCCAGAAAATACTCTTTGCTGCCAAAGAAGATGCAAACTCTTGCAAAACAGAATATTAAGCTCATTATTAGTAATTTTAACTTTCTATATTTTTTCATGTCAAGAGGAAGTAGTATATAACTTAAAGTTTACTAAAGTTGTAGATATACACGTACATTGACAATCACAGAATCACAGAATATACTGAGTTGGAAGAGACCCACAAGGATCATCAAGTCCAACTCCTGGCCTTGCACAGAACCATCGCCAAGAGTCACACCATGTGTCTGAGAGTATTGTCTAGATGCTTCTTGAACTCTGTCAGGCTTAGTGCTGTGACTGCTTCTCTGGGAGCATGTTCTAGTGCCCAGCCACCTTCTTGTTGAAGAACCTCTCTCTAATATCCAGCCTAAACATCCCCTGGTAAAACTTTAGGCCATTCCCTCCAAGTTCTGTCACTGGGCACCACAGAGAAGAGATCAGTGCCTGCCCCTCCTCTCCCCCCTTGAGGAACTTTTAGACTGCAATGAGGTCTCCCCTTATTCTTTGAGGCTGAACAGACCAAGTGACCTCAGCTGCTCCTCATATAGCTTCCCCTCAAGGCCCTTCACCGTCTTCGTTGTCCTTCTTTCGACACTCTCCAATAACTTAATATCTTTCTTATATTGTGGCACTCAAAACTGCACACAATATTCAAGGTGAGGCCACAACAGTGCAGAGCAGAGCAGGACAATCCCCTCCTTTGACCGGCTGACAATGCTTCACCTGATGCCTCCCAGGACACAGTTGGCCCTCCTGGCTGCCAGGGGCACTGCTGACTCATATTCAACTTGCCAACGACCACGATCCCCAGGTCCTTTTCCTTTCCAGCATCTCACTCCCCAGTCTGTACATACATCTAGGGTTGCCCCATCCCAGGTGCAGAATCCGGCACTTCCCCTTGTTGAACTTCATATGGTTGGTGATTGACCAGTCCTCTAATTTGTCAAGGTCTCTCTGCAGGGCTTCCCTGCCATCGAGAGAGCCAAAAGCTCCTCCCAGTTTTGTATCATCTGCAAACTACCTTAGTATCCCTTCCAGTTCTCTGTCCAAGTCATTAATGAAGATGTTGAAGAGCACAGGGCCTAAGATGGAACCCTGTGGAACCCCACTAGTGAGAGGTCATCCATGTTCCCCCATTCACTATTATCCTCTGTGAGCCAATCGTTCACCCACCACATGATGTGTTTATCCAGCTGTGTGCTGGACATTTTGTCTGGAAGGATCCTGTGAGAGACAATATTGAAAGCTTTACTGAAATCCAAAAAGATTACATCAACTGGCTTCCCTTGATCAACTTGGTGGGTTACTTTGTCATGAAAGGAAATCAAGTTTGATGAGCAGGACTTTCCTCTCGTGAAGCCCTGCTGGCTGTGGCCAATGACTGCATTGTCTTCCAGGTGTTTTTCAATATTTCCCAGAATAATCTTCTCCATAATTTTACCAGGCACTGAAGTGAGACTAACAATATTTAAATGCTCTTTGTGAAATTGATTTGTCTTTATTCTGAACATATAAGAAAAAAATATGGAAAAAGCATAATGTCAATTAAATATCTGGCTTGCCAATGTTGAAATAATCCGAGTTCTGTGCTACTCTTATCTCTGCTGCTACTTCAGTACTGCAAAACTTGTTGATCTAAGCTAATATATATCTCATCTCTGTAAAGTGGGACAGAGTTAAGGCTTACTGTCCTATGACTGTTAAGCACAGTTCCTTCATATCAGTGATCTCATGGAACTTTCAAATAGTTATCTGCTAATGAAAATGATGGAAAGATTTGCAACATAAAAATAGTTCAACGTAGATATTTGAATGAAGGAGGACTAATAGCTCAGTAAAGGAATACAGAGATAAATGGTTTCCAGTAGCAGTAGACCTGCTACTTCATGTTTTAAAGGTTTTTCTTTGTAAAATATACAGCTAATATTTCTTGTGTTCACATGGACTTCCAATATTGCCATAGGAATTAGATTTATACTTAGAGCAGTGGAAGTAATGGTACCTTAAATGAGAAAGTTAGTGTCAAATCCTAAGAAGAGCTGAACATACACCTTTACTATGGGGAGAGGTAATTAGTACCTCTACCCTTTCTCTGTTTTCATGTAAAACAATGCACTGTACAGTAAGTAATTTTCTTTTGATTATTTATTAACCACTGTTCTTCATTTAGGGAGGGCTTTTTAGCTCCTCTTTTTAGATAACTTCAAGTATTGAAAATCCATTAACTTCAGAATTGAGTGGGTTTGGGGATTTTTGCTTTTGTCTGTTTTTTGGGGGGATTAGAATAATGACTGTAATATTGTCTGGTTTTCTTTTTTTAGAGATCCAAACCAGCCTGTTCCACAAGACACAAAGTTCATCCACACAAAACCCAACCGCTTTGAAGAAGTGGCCTGGTCCAAATACAATCCTAAAGACCAACTTTATCTGCATATTGGCTTGAAACCCCGGGTTCGTGATCACTACCGAGCAACAAAAGTTGCCTTCTGGTTGGAGCTAGTACCACACCTTCACAACCTGAATGAAATATTTCAGTACGTTTCCACAACAACTAAAGTCCCCCCTCCTGACATGACCTCATTTCCTTATGTGACACGACGTTCTCCTGGTAAATTATGGCCAGCCACCAAACGCCCAGCAATGACACCTGCCAACAATCCCAAACATTCAAAAGACACCCATAAAACAGCTCCAGAAGATACGACAGTTCTGATAGAAAACAAGCGAGATTACTCCACAGAGCTGAGCGTCACCATTGCCGTGGGGGCATCCTTGCTGTTCCTCAATATTTTAGCTTTTGCTGCATTGTATTACAAGAAGGATAAGAGACGTCATGAGACTCACAGGCGTCCCAGCCCCCAGAGGAACACAACCAACGATATAGCACACATACAAAACGAAGAGATCATGTCGTTGCAGATGAAGCAGCTAGAACATGACCATGAGTGTGAATCGCTGCAGGCCCACGACACACTGAGACTAACCTGTCCACCTGACTACACGCTTACTTTGAGAAGGTCCCCGGATGACATCCCGCTCATGACACCCAACACCATAACCATGATCCCAAATACATTAACAGGAATGCAGCCTTTGCATACCTTCAACACCTTCAGTGGAGGACAAAACAGTACAAATTTGCCCCATGGACATTCGACCACTAGGGTATAGCTCAGCCCTTCCCCCTCTACCCTCTCAAGCCACTTGGAAGAAAGAAATAAAAGAAAAAAAAAAAAAGAAAAAAAAGAAGAGGAAAATGTTATAATACCATCCATTGAATACCTTGTCAAAATCTAAAGTAAAAACAAGTAAAAGAGAAGGACAGTCATTATTTTCTTACTGATCCTTCCCACAGAAACTCACTGATATTAAAGATCAACTACAAACCCTGTGAAATGTGAAAAGTGTACATTGCTGTTGCGATACTGCTTTAAGATCTCAGCCACTTTGATTGAAAGTTGAGGCCAGAAGAAGTAATTTAAAATGGTGTTTTAAGTGTAACAAGCAAAGCAGAGTCTTCTGGAACACAGAGCCAGTGACTGTACAGGTGTTTTGTTTTGGGTTTTTATAATAAATAAAATAATAAAAAAGATTCCTTATGTGCCATACCATGAATGGCCATTGATAAAACAAAGACATCACCATGGGCTTTTACCCAGCATATGAAGCTGTAATCCAGACGGGGAAAATAGAATTTTATTATTAAAAACAAAAATGAAAAAAAAAAAAAAAAAAAGAAAAAGAGGAGGACTGACTATGCAGTAAAATACGTATAGTTCTGTGCAAAGAGATGACTTGCCAGCCTGAACTATATTTAAAGAAACTTTGTAAAAATGTACATAGCTGTGAGTTTAAAAACAAATCAACAAAAAAAAAAAAAAAAAAAAAAAGAAGCAGCTTTTATTGATGTTTTCAGTTTGAAAAGAGCTTTTAGAAAGATTGTGCATTCGATTGTGACCTATGTGTATATACATTAGTCATATCACCTCTGTTTCCTCCAAGACCAAAGGAGGAATTCCTTCTTAATTACTAGTGGTAAACAAAAAACATGAGTTTTTTCTAACATGTTTCATTTATATGAGGCCATGGCGTCATGCAAAGGATACAGCTGTCTGTGGTGTGACCTGAGTATTTTCTCTTACAGGTTACACTTGTGCATGTTAAAGTATTCATAGGAGATTGTTGTTCTTTTCTGAAACATTTTTTCTATAATTTAATTTTGTGTTAGCCTTTGTTAAATTGCAACACAGCAATGGATTGGAAAATGAAGAGAAAAAAAACACAAAAGAAAAAAATTACTCTTTTAAACTTGTTGAACCAAGAAACACCTAATAATATATATTCAGAGTCCAGTTTGTAGTTCTTGGTTATTGTGATACCTTAGGAAGAGTTTTGTGCCCTGACAAAAGCAATGAAAGCCTGTGTTTTGGTCAGCCTTCTCTGAGGAAAATTAGCTCTATATTCACCAGCAGTTGCAGTAGAATCTCAGCTGATAAAGCACCTCCTTAGCTTTGCTAAATGATAAAAAACAATTATTTGAAAGTGGGGAAATGCAGGGTTGGTTGGCTGGCTGTTTTTCAAAGTGTTCAGAATGGTCAGTGTGTAAAGAACTGCTCAGCCCAGTATCTTGATTTGTGCTTGAGAGTGTACCTGTCAGAAAATGCTTATTTTGCTGATTTATTGCACAGCAGTCCTGTAGTCAAAGAATATTATGGAGAGAGAAGCAGAGACGTCATCAGCTGTTCTGCATCTGAGCAAAATTGAAAATCCCAGAGATCATCACTCTCAGAAAAGGCAAAATTATTAGCTGGTTATTCCCTTCTGCCCTTCCTTCACTAGAAAAGCAGAGGCCAAGCAGAGCTATCAAACAAAGTAACTTGCCAGTTTGATTCAAACAATTGATTTGAATGTGAAAAGCTAGAAATTAGTTCTCGCAGATGATGATTGCTTTATATTTTGTCTTTGAAAGTTACTCCATCATTGAGAGATAGTAACCAAAGATATTTAAACAAATTGGTCTGCACTTGAACCTAGTTATCCCAGATGTATTTTCTATTATTATTCCACAACTACACTGCATAAATATCATCTGTCCCATAAATATCTAACACAAGATGCCTTGTACCTCTTCTTGTTTTCTACACTTTTTGTTTCTGAATAAAATATCTTGGAATAGTGGTCCCTACAAATAAAATCAAAGACAAGGTGATTCACTGAGGTCTATTCATCTGCACAACTCCTTGTTGTAGCAGGCAATAAAACAAATTCTGAATGAAAAAAGTTAAAAGTTAATGACATGATAAAAATGCAACATGTGGCTGATACAATCCTTCATCTGTGGGAAACATACTATAAATCTGACCTGGAAGCTCAGGTTGGAATATGATAAAATGGCAACTTCAAAGTACAACTAGTAGAACATGGAAAAATGTTTGGTTTTTTTCACTGATCCATCACATAATATTGATAAATGCTGAGTCTATTCCAGGCCATTTACACCAATTATTTAATGCCTCAGCTGAGATGCAGCAGTTCATAACTCTTAAAAAAAGGTTTAAAAAAAAAGAAAAAAAGAAAAAAAAAAAAAGAAAAAAAAAGGTAATGATGCTTGACATCATAAGCAGTTGGGTATGTTTGTAATGTGAATTACAGTATTTGTTTAGTACTTCCAATTGTCTTCTGCTAGCAATATGTACAGTACTGTGTCAGGCTTGTGACATTTGGGTAAAAAAAAGTTCCTGTAAGTGAATGATTTTAGCTTTTAAAAGTAATTACAATCAAGTTGATTTAATAATTTGATACATCTGGACTGATGTATGATTTATAGAGGGAACAGATTTATAAGGTCTTCATAGAATTCTATAATAATGATATCAAAATATACTTTGAAACTGTAAAAGAAAAACAAAAGTACTTTCCCAGGCTTATATTCTTGTCCTTACGAGGCACACAGGGTTCAATGGTTTCTTCTGTTATCGTTTTGCAATTTTTGTTTTTTGCCTTAAGTAATGATAGAAGATATATATGGCTGGACACATATGTATAAACTTTTCAGCAGCATTTTTAATAATAAAATATCACGGTATTTTCTAATGCTTTGTGCAAATAACTACGTGTTCATCCTTTTGTGTAGAAAGTCTTTCAAGGTGTGTTTTCTGCCCCATCTCCATTTCATTATCTAATGTAAACAATGCCTTGATACACAGTATAAAAATATTAAAGTAAAGGAGGTTGCACTTTTAAGTTAGCATTGAGTTTTCATGGCTTTTGTGGTTCTACAAGCCTACCAGTAAAAGAGAAGCAACTCAGAGAATGAAGATATAGGAGAATAAGCTCCATAAACTTATTACCTTTATGCACTGCAGTTCCCACTGAAGCAATGGTTTAATTATTTTGTTAGTATTTTCTGAGGCACTGAAAAAAAAAGCTTGAGTAAGCAGCTTCCCTTACTAGTGTATAGCTTAGCAGCTAAAAAATATATCTTCCAAATTAGAGATCAGAATATTGCAGATAAATCTAATACATCGAGCCTCCACAAGTAAATATACTTTGCTTTTAAATTTAGATAAGCAATTGGTTTTGCTAGGAAAAAATATGTAGGAGTAGCAATGTATGTTACTCATATGTATTTAAGATATTTACATAGATTGCAAATATGTCATTAATATCATTCTTCCTTCAAAGGCTGAGTAAGTAAATAATTTGTTCTTTTATGATGTTAGATTCTGTTTATCAATAAGGTTTCCTTTCACTGGAAAGGTACATAGACATTTTAGTAATTTGAGCTGGGTATTGTTTGCTTTCTGTAGCTATTCTGCTGAATAGAGGTACTAACAATAATGTTTGAAGAATTTTGAGCATATTAGTGAAGAGTATTTGCAAATAGCAAATTCTGAATTATTCCTATCAGATTTTTGATATGAAGAACCAAGCTTCTGAGATAGAAATATGTGCCTACTTACCTAATCAAGCAGCTTGAACTTTGAATATTGAATTTGTATATAAAGCTTTTGCAAATAAACTGCAGGTTTATAGTTGTTCAGCAAATACACCTAATTACAGCTACACTTCAGAATTCCACAGCTTGCTCCGAGTTAATTCATACGTAAGAAAAGGGGTTACAATTGTGTAATTTCTGTGAATTGTTCACCTTAAATTGTGGGGAGATTTTAATAAATTAGCTTCTTTTCAGTTAAGCAGTTTCACATTTTAAAAAAAAGGAAGGCTTCAGAACTTTGTTCATGCTAAGTAAATATTGTGTTTTGTTCTTTTGTTGTCTGAAATATAAATCTTCAGATTAGTATGTTCCTATTTTGACTTCGCTAAGAATATGACAATTCAATGGTATTTAATATCACATAAAATAATTTGAAATAATACCATGATAATTATATGCTTCTCTCAGATTTGTAGTTTTACATTTGTATTATTTAATTGTTGTCAGTTATTTCTCATATTTTCATCTGCAGCTGTATGACATCACAAACCTCATCAACCTGAATCTCTCCAGTGGCCATAGCAGCTTGTAAAAACTGGGATTGTCATCCCACTAGAAATTATGGTATTATATATTTAATATCATAATATTTTAAATGCCTCTCAAAACATCAAATTAGCCTGAAAAGTAAGAAATAACCTTTTTTTAAAGCAAATGAAAAATAAGGCAAGGGTTTGGAAATTTCTAAACATCTTTTTGGAGCTGTAGCATAATAAATAACATTTCACTGTGGGATGAAGTTTTGATTCAAGCCATTTTGTTTGGTGTTCTACTGTGGGCACCAAGGTCCACACTGTGTCTTCTATGTTATGTAAGTTAGTTCTAAGGAAGTTACATTTTCTCAGTCTTTTATAGCACACCCAAATTACTTTATCCAAATTTTACCATGTTAGAGAAACCCAGATCACTCAGGGATGATGAAGTCACAGTCCAGTCACAAAGTCCAGACAGAGAAGAAGTTTTATCATAAACCAAGTGAACTACAGCTGAGACACAGTGGCAATAAAGGAAAATATGTATTAATATTCTAACAATTCAAATGTAAAATAAACATCTAATAGATAAGGCACATTCCATTTTTATTAATGGAAAGTTCACAACTTTTTTCAGTACCTACATTTTCCTAACTTCATTTTCTATGCCTTCCCAACAAAGAATAACAAAACCTTTTCAGACAGTATTTTCTGGAATATCCATAAAACTAAATGTAAAATTAAATAGGTGACATAATTTTGTTTTTCTACATAAAGATCCTCAGTTGCTGAAAGATGAAAAGTTCTTCCTCTAGTGCCTTTATCAGGGCTTGTAGCTTATGTAGGTGATGCAGCAAAGTCCCATTCCCAGGTGTCCAATTCTAAGTAAAAAGGAAGAAGCTGGACAAAGAACTGACATTGCCTTTGACTACACAGCACAGTTGTGTTTCTGTCCAACAGCCAAAGATATGACACAAAAGCATAGAGAGCTTTATGTATGTTTTATTTTTAAAAGACTGCATTTTTAGACACAGTGTTCTCATTTTGGAGCTTTTGATGTCTGATGTCATGCTTTTTGTTATAACTCAAAGCCCTTACTTGTTTTTTGCCATCTCATATCTTTTATCTCTTATTATATCAGATATTTCCCTAGAGATAAAGGTACGTTTCCATGTCACAACGGTTAAGTTTGGCCACAGATTTGTTCCATTCTATACTGTGAGAGAGCATTTTCCATGTGACATTTTCCTTGCTGCTTTTAAAGTTCCCTTGAAGGGGTATTTACTTGGCAGTATTCCTCATCCTTGAAATGCATTGATCTCTATGACTATCTGCATTTTGTGCCAGCCTAACAGCTTTACTTTGACACAGTGAATGTCTTAGTGGGAAATGCCAGCTTGGAGCCAGGCTCTTGTGTTACTCTGTAGTTTTTATTATTGTTATTATTCATCGTTGGCATCTGTTTCTTTTCTATATTGATCTTTAATCAAAGGTAAATTGAATTAGTATGTCATTCTATTGCACAGCAAGATTTCTCAAACCCTAAATTGCTCTTAATTCTTGTTTAGATACAGCTAATTACGCTGCAGCATCAAAACATAAAAACCTTTCTAAACCATTAATATTTCCTGATTCTACTATCAGTGCAAACTAATAGGTGGCTGGCACAGTTAGCCAGTATGAGAAGAATTCGTGGTATACTGTCTTCTACTTGTTGGGACTTGTTTTAAAAATATGGGAAAATTAATTCAATTAACATTTTCCTGCATCAGAATTTAATTACATTATGTCAAAGGTAAGCAAGGCCCAAGGCAAAATTCATAGAAACCATTCTAATATACTACACTGGTGGTTATTTTGCATAAACAACAATTTGCAGGTCAATAGCTGCTGCATGAGTGCTTAGTACACTTTAGTCAATGGGGGTCTGACTTCAGAAACTAGAGTGAAATTTGAGGATTTCAGGAAATGAAGAGGATATTGCAGAAATAATAGAGTTTCTGCTTTCAAGAATTCCTAGCAGCAGCAGCAAAGAAACTGCAGGGAGAGTGTTTTAAAATAAATAGGAAGAGAATGCAAATTGATTTTTAAATGAATTTGACAGTAAGAATTATGATGCAATGTGATATGAAGTGACCTTAAACTAATGTGATGCATTTCTTCTGTGTGAAAGACCAACAGAAAAAGGAAAACCATCTTAAAGGATACATTTTTACAGGGACTAGTCAAATGAAATCACTGCAGATAATGAGACTATAATGGGATTTTGAACCGAGATGTTGTGTCATAATGCTATACCATATGGATTTAGATATGTTGAACATAATCTACAGTGCTCATCTGGATATAGAGAAGTATAAAATTAGATCCCTAGATGCCCTACTTTAGCAAGACAATAGTGCTGCCATGGTAGATAACACAGCAAAGTGAAATGTGCGCATTTGTCATGAAACGACAAAATATCCAAGTAATTTTAGTCCAAGAAAGACAAAGTGCCAGACTCAATAAATAGGGAATAATGACAATACAAGCCAGAAACAGGTCCAGCCTGGAGAACCATCTTGCATGCCAACAGAGGGGTTATCCTCCAAATCTGCTTTTTTGTTTGTTTTCCTGGGGTGGTGGAGAGGCATGGAGAGGGAAGGTCCCTGGAGTATGCTGTTTTCCACTAATGACTAGCCTTTGAACCTTCAAAAATCATCAACAAGTGATAGATGCTAGAGGTCCCTTTAAGATGGAGCTGGGATGGAGAAGGAAGGAATATGAACTGTTTACTTATTATTAGTCACTTTTTCTCTTCTCAGTGAAGGACAGTGAGGAAGAGATAAGGGACAAAGAACAGCGTGCTACCAGCTTCCCCCAGTACTTGATGAAAGGACAGCCAAGCACTTTACTCAGTTTTTGGTTAGGCTGGAAACAGGCAGTCAAGAGCAATGGGCGGTGAGGGACTTGCTGAAGACGGCAACAACCACCTGCTGAGTTGATTTGTGAGTCTTAAATATCTCTCACCCATTATAATGGGCTAATTAAAAAAATTCTGTGCTGCTCCTCAGACTGTAGATTCTGCACCATTAATATAGCAGAAAATTAGTAAGAATATGATGAAAAATTAATTAAATAAAAATTTAATTACAAAAAATTAAAGTTCTCGTATGTGTAAGAGAAGTAATATTCAATATTGCATTAATCTTGTGATCTGACTGCAGATGTGTTACTGTATCAGACACAATAGAGAGTTCTAATGGAGGCACTACAATAAATCATCAGCTGTATATGCACATAGCTAGGAAGTGGTGTACCATTTACAACAGCTCTATAAATTGCTGCTTCAATAAATAGTAAGTTTGAAGTTACTTAACTTTTCTTGCTGAGTTTTTGGAATGAAAAATAATGTATACCAAGGACACATGGAACTACTGCCAGGAGCTCTCAGATCTGCAGCGCACAGCTAAAGAAAAATGAAGACATAAGTTGCTGGATCTTTGGACAGCTGAGACCTCTATTAGAAGCCTGAAGTCTTCGTCAGCTCCTATTGCCAACAACCCATCCAGATCTTACATATAATGAATTTCACTGTGAAGTGCTGTTTCTTCCTCCAGAAAGCTGACATGTAACTAGGGACTAACACAGATTGAACGT